GTATCTTAGAAACTGGAGAAAAAAAATCAATCATCGAGATGGTTTATTTTCGTTCGAAGTATTCGGATTCTCACACTTTTTGCAACAAACCCTGCTGGTATGGAACTATGGATACCGTGTCAATTTTTTATATTCTACAAGAAAAAGGGCTAATTCTGGTTCATGTATATCATAATATATGAAGTCCCGAGAAAAAATGTGTATCAGCAGACCAGCAACTGTAAACCTGCATGCCCATGCATAGGGATTTCTATAATTAATTTATGTTCCTGAATCAATTCCCGTAAAATGACTGAATAAATATGAATCAAAATGCCGACCGGCGACCATTATACTATCCTGCTTCATCAGACTTGATCAATGCAACACGTATAAATATTTGCATTTAATTGTAAATACTGTACATGTCATATAAGCAATAGGAAATCCCAAGACAATGGATGCCAATATGCTACAGCTGTGAAAAGTTTGGTAAACATTTTAGTAAAAGTAGGTGTTTCACTTGGGTTATTAGAAATGGCATCGTGAATACGGTAGGCGGGTAGGGAATAAGTGTGGCTTATGAAACAAAATCATTAGAAATGGATTGTAAGGTACAGAAACAGACTCGGTCGAGGGAATAACAGGAAAGCAAGGGTAATTGCCACGCATACTGCACACCAGTATATATTCACACAGCATACAAAAGTGTGCAATGATGCATACCTTGTTGATATGCAGGGGGATATGATGCATAAGCCTGAAATACCACCAGGGCACCAGCCACTGAAGTCATGGATGAATTTTTGAACTATAGTGGGACCTGTGGACATATATGGACAATTTGACTTTCAAGGGACACTTGAAACTCAAAAACTACTCTAAAATATAGACAATAATGTCACAGTATATGTCACAAGTGTTCTTATTTGTAACAAAATTCTCTCTACAGAAAAATTTTATGAACCAATTGATTTTGTTGTAGAGTAAGTCCACTATATATTATCATGATTTATACAAATATATGTAAGGCGCATTATAAAATTTGAATGTACAGTTATTGTGAAAGCCCAGATATATGCTGTGGATGTAATTGATGCTTGGACCTTGTCCCTGCTGGAGCATCTACATGTGCTGGGATCACATTCTTACATAGACTTCAATGGGAAGGTATTTAATTGGTTTCTTAATTGGTTTCCCAGCTTATCAAAAGCAGGAAGAAGTCCCCCTTAAAACATTGAATAAAATTTTTTGCTCAACTTCAAGATAGAGAGAAATCACATGTGCAGAAGACAACTATACATATTCTGATCATTTGCATATAAAAAGAGCACAGCAAGAAGCAGAGAAAGAACAATAAGTCTTGCTATGCTCTGCACAGATGATGGAAACAACTTGAAAAAGGAGCACAAAATTAGCCTGCTATTGTGATTATAGATTCGAGTGATTCTAAAATAAAATTTTAATTTTGATTTTTAGGAATAAAGTAGCTTGATCTTTTTTAAAGATATCCAAATTTCGAAGAATGAAAATGTTTCCATTTACAGAAATGTTGAGAAAAATGCCAATACTGTACATTGTGATGTGTTGCAAGAAGCCTATGTCACCAAAAAATGTTTGTGTGTGTGACACTATATATAAATTCATTGTAGACAGCAAGAGTGTTACAGAGAGAGTCTACCAATATACAAAGCATGTAAAGCAGATATATTGATCAGTACAGTTGAACCTTGATAACTCAAAAACCTCCCTAAGTCAAAAATTTTTTGGGTCCTGTGACTCCTGTCTGAATCACCTTAGAATTAATGAATTAAAAACCTCCCTAAGTTGAAGGCTTTTCCCCTCAAACCTCCATAAGTTGGATTTTTCTGGACTGTTGGCTTCTATTTTTTGACATAATAAGAAAATAAAAAAGCAATAAAAACATAAATTGATTTGTTTCAAAAAGGGGTTAGAGAATTAATTGGGCAAATGAACCCCTGCCTCCAAGTTCAGTTTCCTTTTAACTCATTTAAGAAGTAATTTAAGCCTTCGAATATCACAAATTACTATTTTAGGCAATTTTTCTATGTTTCACAAAATAAAAGGGCTTTGTATTTTAGCTCGATTCAAAACCTACCTATAAGTTAACTTTTTTGCTGTTCCTTTGAAATTCCTCTTAGAGAGGTTCAACTGTGTATACACATATACTGAACCTGCTGCATGCTATCCGATACTTAATATAAACGGACGACCATCAAAGAAAGCTATACCGTTTCGATGATGGGCGTTTTCGCCAGCCCGTACATGTGGACCATCCGGCTTTGGTAACCCTGAGCCCAGCAGGTCCCGTATTTCCCAACACCGTTTCGCGGGAAGCAAGAGGAAAGCCCGGAACGCGGCTTCACGGCCGACCTCCCCATTGTGGTCATATGGCACCTGCCCGTCAGTCCGCGTTGACTCTCCAACAACCCGGGGTTCTGGTGTTGTCTCCCCATTATCCATTCCTCACCACTGTGGGTTCTACGCCGGATGAGTTCAACATCATCTGTATATATATATATATATAGGCAAACTATCATAGCTCATAGTATACATCTGCTGTATACACTTTACTCAATGGTCAGATAATCTAAACAAGAAGCAATTTGTTCAATATTTTGAAACATCCATGCCATAATAACACTATGCCAATATAAAGCTCTGTATGGATGTGAATAAAAGTTGGAAAAAGTGCAGTTGCGCGTTCGCTGGTTTTATTATTGATATATTAAAGGTGAAAAGAAAATTACTTGCATCAATGTGGATCTTATTTGGTGACATAGATGAAAAGAAGAGAAAATTGATGGAAGGATCAAAAATTGGTTTTTAAAAAAGACGTGAAGTGACTTTTTATGGGTTTTACATTGTCTTGACAGATGCAGCAGTGCGTATGGATCTCGATAGTGTTGGTCGGCTTCTGCATTATTGCTGATGGTGAGTATATTTTTTGCTCTAAAATTGCATCGGCATTTTAAGAACCATTTCTGTTTTTTGAAAATGTATCATACCCTTGACAATCGCATGCAAATGGGAGGGAACAGATTTTTGGGATGCGTTTCATGATTGATGACTGAGTCATGCAACAAATTAAAGATTATGAAAAGAGCCGGGGTCTCTTGAAAACAATATAACGCAGATGATTTCTAAAAATTTTTATGGAGTGAAACTGTCTTCTCGATCCATGGGCATTTTTTGGCCGAGGTCTTTAATGCAAAGAATGTAGAAAAGAGAGTTAGTCAAAAATGAAAGCATTTGAGAAGCGATGTCCTCCTCGTGGAAGGGTTCGGTTTTTTTGCATGGAAAAATCAAATCAAGTTGTACTCATACGAGTCTCTGTGAAAGTCTGTTTAATTGCCGTAATTAACGGAGGAAACGCAATTCTCAACTTCAAACACAACTCCATGCTTTTTTCCCCGAAGTTCGCCTGCGATAGGGACTCAAAGCCGAACTTTGTCCTACTCGGGATTTTCATTCACCATTCTGTCAAGAAAGCCACCAGTAAATGTTTTTAACCCCCCAGAGAAGCTTGAAATCAGTTTTGACAATGGGAAACTGTTTACAAGTCACTTAAAATCTTGCATATGAGCACCAGCTTTTGCAAGAATAGCTGCTCAAATCTTGTTGTGTATAAGTACTGTATGTTCTTGGGGAATGGCACCACTTTTTGCTCTTTGTTAAACAGATGAAATCAAATGAAAAAAAATCTTCCAGCCAGAAAAATTCGCATGCCTCCACTGGAAGAGAATTGTCTTAGATTTAAATTTTCGAAGACAATCCCAGTCCTCTAAAATTTATAATCTTTCCATCACTCAAAATTAATAAAAAGCCTTATTCCTCATACTTGTCAATCATTTTGAACTGAACCATTTTGAAGATGGGTTATCAGAGAGCTTGCTGAGAGAAAAACTATTTGTCATCGCTTTTGTTGCTAACATCTTTTGGGAGAATTTGAAAAAATTTAATCTTGATAAACTCTACTTCTGGATTTCTCAAGATTTCCCAACCAATTCAAAGCTGATGATTGCGTTTTCTTTCTCCTGAAAATTGGAAGCTTTTTATCCTTCTCCGTCCACATTTCCAATTTACTGTATTCTTGTGCTGCATAGACTTGAATCCCCAACACATGAGGTAGCTTTTTGTTCTGGATACAATCAACTATTGCTGGCTATATCAATGCTGTGCAGACGAGTACCTTTTGCAACATTTTACAGAAATTGAGGTGGAAAATAGTCCAGAATTTGGAGTGATCTACCCAGTGGGATTTACTGTTCAAGGATACCCAAAACAATACCCTAGCAACAAAACAAAATTTAATGGGCATGTGTGGTGCAAAGTCTCCTTCATAGTTCAAACAATAAAAATTGTAGGATAATGTATATCAGTTGGAGTTGCCACAGGAATTATACAGGAATGGAAAATTATTCATCCAATTGAAAGCTCTGATAGATGTTGCAAGTAATCTTCAACTGCACCTGCAGGCAGTGAAAAAAGAAAAGGAAGTCAAAATATCCAGGTGAAAAAAGAGGATCTACACAATTCTTGCTTTTTAACACAAAAAAACACAACTGGTGTGCATTTCTTACATGGGGATAAGGTTTTTGACAAATTTGAAAGAAATAAAAGGAGTGTGTGTCTCACTTCAGATTATATGTTGTACTCAAATAAATACACTACGTAAAAGTATAAAATTGAGTATCATTTGGAAGAAGATTGAATAATGAGCATACAAATGTGAGACTTTTCAAGGCCTTATAAAATCAACCACACAGGATATATCCAGGCTCAAATCAGCGAGCATATTGTACGTTTTTTTTGTTTGTTGACCCCCTGTACTCCGTTTCTTCCCTATGATTCATTTTTATTGGAGTCTCGAATTGGACTGCGAATGTGTTCTTTTTTGAGAGCGAGCTTATTTCATTTTATTTTTCTTCGCGTATTGCTTCGATTCGGGATTCCCCGCTGAAAAGTGCGAGGCCAGCGACCCAGTTTGGCGTTCCGAGGCGGCGGGCGGGGACCTCAGAACGCCGGGCTCGACCAGGAGTCGGCCAGTGGACCATCGGCAGAATCGCTGCCAGCAGCTGCTGAAGAAGAAACGTCAGCACCGGCAGCAGCAGCAGCACCCACGCGACAACAGCAGCAGCAGCAGCAACGACCTGTTTTCGGGGGCAGACGTGGGCCGCAATTCCAACGCGTTCCATCAGGTGAAGAATAAAAATATTACATTGCGAAATACAAATAAATGAATACCCAGATTATAATTGGAATGAGAACCCTTCGTCCATTCTTGCGCCACTTTCGGCTTCTAGTGTTTCAACTGTGAAACTTGAATGGATATCAGAGCGAAAATACGACACTGCTGCGTGTCGGGCCCCGCTAGATGTCGCTGGGCTCCCGTAACTCGAGCGCTCTCGGGGCACGACCCCCGCTCCCTGATTGTAATCGTGATGCATAATTTGTTCAAAAACTTCTTTCTCTAATCCGGAAGCATAAAGCAACATTTTTAACCTGATTCCAATTAGTAAATACATCGTGTATCTTTCGTATCTACAGTGAGACAGTATCCTTTATTCCCGTGTACTTCAATAAAATGAAATATGAAACAGGCATTATTAGATTTTGAAAAAGTTTTGAGGCATACGCAATTTTTTTCCCTATTATTTGGTGAAAAAATTAGAATAATTTTCCTGAAAAAAGAAGGAAAGCTGATCGTGTACTGAAACCTGTCTTCAGGCCTCCAAGTGGAGGAAAATCATCGTCTTCTTACGTGTAATAAAGCCTCTATATCTGAGATGTGGAGCAAAAAATATTAGCTGCTTTAATTTACTGATGCATTCACTGAATCTTGGACAGTAATCTTTTTCCCACGCTTCTGTTGTGCTTACGTGGAGGCTTTACTGATGAGCTTTGCTTGTGTAACCCTTACACTGTTGTTTTTGTGCATCAAAACATCCCTAACTCGAATATTTTGCTGGTCCCTTGAAAATTAACTAGGAAAGATTTGACTGCACATCATGTTACTCTGCCATAGAGTATTTTTTAATAATGCGTTGGATTCAGAAATCTGATTCCTGGAATAATAAGCCGCGTTCTTGAGACTCGAAATAAGTGAACATCTTGTTCGGATGCAGGTTCGGATGCAGCAGTATCCGCTGAAAACAACAACGAGGAAACCCCTGCGCAACCCCCAGTGCAAAATACCCGGCCTCAGCGTCGTCGTCCAGTAGCCCCAGCGGCATCAGCACCTGATGCCGAAACCCCGCAAAAAAGCAGCAGCGAGTCTTCTGTGCCAAATTCGAATCCGTTTCGTCGCCGTCCTGCGGCACCGCCAGTCCAACCAGAAGAACCGCAACAAGAAGTACAGCAACAAAGACGAGAGCAATTGCCAGCAGTGCAGTCGACATCGTCATTAGCCGATGTCGACGCAGCAGACCCGGCGGCTGACGGAGAGTTTGTGTCGGAATGCCCGATCGCTGACGGGTTTTTTGCGGACGCCTTCGAATGCGACAGGTACTACGAATGCAGGGGCAACAAAATCTCTGAAAAGGTGTGCAAGGATGGTCTGGTTTTCAACGATTACTCGGTCAAGTTCGGACGCTGCGATTTCCCGTTCAACGTCGACTGCACGGACCGACCGAAACTTCGTGAGTTTTCAACCCTGTTGATTCGAGGGAAACTGGCCGAGAAGGGGTTTTTTTTCGGAAGCAGGATTGATCGAATCTAACGAAAATTCAATTATTGTACAGTATCCGAGTAATGTGAAACGATAAAGCGTAGAAGGACTAGTTCAGTTTTTCTTTTCCCTTTCCCGAAGCTAATCTCACTATAAAAATCTTAAGGGTGATATACGCAGCAAGGATTTGTTATTCCATTCCCTCGTAAAATCTTAGAACGATTTCTGGAATAAGATTACGTTTTACGACAACATCATAAAATAACAGCTAAAGCAATTTCCAACACAATTAAGTACCGTGTATAAAAATTAACTAGATCCCAACGAATAATATTTTGCTGGCGATATTTTAACACCAAGGTGGAGTTTTCCTCGGAAAGAAAATTACCTGATACTCGCAAAAATTATTTCAAGTAGTGTCCCGCACTTTCAAAAGAAAGAAAAAAGCCATGAAACCTTCAAGTCAATTTTGCAATCCGTTCATAATTCAGGGTACCACTGTACTATTGAACAAACTATTACCAGTTTCACTCAAAACATTGACCGCACTACACTTGAAAAAGAGTGCTTACGATGTAAGTGCTAAACCTCTGCTATTTTTCGTCCTTCAGCACGTTTAGCAGAATCTCTTCAGCAGTTGAGGCGGAAAACATATCACGTACTGAACTTTAGTTTAATTGGAAATAATTAATTGAGTGTTGTCAATAGAATAGGGTCATCCGAAATTCGCGAAAGCTGGAATACAATGAAAAAAGGGGGCGTGAACCTCATGGGAAATTTCGTAAGAATATATTTCGAAACGTTCATGCAGATGTCACTTCTTGTTTCGGAATGGCGTATAGAAAAAAAATGCTCGAACATTCCAAGCCCTTTCACTGGTACTGTCACGATTTGGAAAGGGTTGCGAAAACGGACTTGAAATAGACTTCGGCTGAATCTGATTCAATGCTTACTTTTTTTCTTACATTTATCCATGGATTCATAATATTTTTTTTTACAGGAAACACAAAATCTCAAATATGAACCCATACAAAATAAATATTACAATTCTTAATTTTGACCCACGAATTTTTCATAAAAAATGTGGATGGTTGTCTTACTGGGGAGCATTATACGTTATAGTTTAGGTTAGATTATAGTTTAGCTTAGACTCAGTAGGTTAATTTGGGGTTCTTCGCTTTATGAAAATCTTCTTTGATGACATTTTGCGCAAAAGCTATTCAGAAATTAATTTTAGATGTCCTAGAACTACCAAAGTTGAAAACCAAAATCTTGAAGGTCAAGGGGACCGTGGGGTGGAGGCTTATGAAGGAGAAGGGATTATTGGTTGAAATAAATACCCGAAACTACTGTTATGGGGTACTTGTGTGAATGAGGTATTTTTGATTGATTGATTGGATTGTCTGCTGCGTAATTCCCATCGCCAGAACCTGCTCAGCCCTCGCCCAACTGCCCACGATCCAACGGCTACTTTGCACACCCGGATCCCAAGGAATGCACCAAGTTCTTCTTCTGCTCAGACGGGGTCGACAATCCCATCACGTGCCCAGGTGGACTCATCTTCGACCCGAAAAAGGGCCAGTGTGCCTGGCCGGAAGACGCCAAACGAGAAGGGTGCTTAGCCGAAGGTTCGCCATATATAATCTCATAATAACACTTGTATGCCGATAATAAGAACTATCTTGCAGATTTTTGATGCCCCATTCGAAATTTTTAATTTATTTTTTTTTAAATTTGTGCAGAGCTCTTTGAGTTCAACTGTCCTAAACAGTCGAATCAGGATTTTAATGGACCACAGAGACAACAGCATCCCCGGTTTGCGGATCCGAAAGACTGTCAGTTTTTCTATTTGTGCATCGATGGGGTGACGCCCAGAAAAAATGGCTGTCCACTGGGACGAGTTTTCAATCAAGAAACCGGCTTGTGTGACGAACCGGAAAACGTCCTTGATTGGTGAGGAATTCTGAAGGCAAACCATCGATCGACCTGATTTTTGATCGTTGGGGTCAGGTGAAAATGACGTGGGAGAAAAAAAAACGGGTCGCACCTGATTAATTAAAATTCATAGAGTATTCGCAATGAAGGCGTAGGAACTGATTCTTTTCGATTACACTCCCGCTATCCATGGATAGGACAAAAGCACGAATTTCGTCGTAAATGCCGCGAAAACTTTAAACTTTTATACCAAAAGCGAAAATTAAGATACAGGCAAAACGGAAATTAAAATGGTAACAGCGTAATATTCTATAAACTTTCAAGTGAAATTTCATTTATCATTCATTTGAGGAAGGCATTCAAAATTCTGTTTTATGATATATGTTATTTCGGGGTCGAAAGGAAAAATTGACATTTATTTAAATCAATTTTCAGACTGTGATCTAGGATTAAATCACGAAGAGTAGATACGTGCTAGGAAAAATCGAAAGACATAGTAAAGAATTGAAAAAGGGTCGAAATTATTCGTAAGCCGATCCCACAGAAATCGATGCAGTTCAAATTCTAAACTCCAAAGGAAGACTTGAAGCAGGACATTTTGAAGCAAGACTTTAATTGAAGGAGTGCCAAAGTAATTATCGTCAGCTACGATTTTTATTGGGAGAGTAAATAATTATTTTAAAATATTAGGCTATTAAAAATTATTTATTGGGAGAATTGCTTTAATGTCAATCTGGACTTATTTTGTTTTGAATCAGGTTATCAAAGACATTAAAAAATAATAATGATTTGAAGTGCGGACTGGAAGGTTTTTTATTCTTGCTTTCATAATTTTATCCTGGCCAACATATTCCAGTTCATGTCAGGATGATCGCTGACGTGGCAAAAATTAATTAGTTATTTAAGCTTCACTTCCTACATCGTTTAAATTCCTTCTTTGCATGAATTGACATTCGCGCTATTTTTCTCTGAGACATTCTCTCTTGAGGCGTTTTTCTCACTAGATCATCAAACCTGATTGAACGAAACCCGAATTTCGAAGCTTTCGCACGAATTTCCGGCTGAAACGCATCAGCGATAATGCCAAGATTTGTTAAAAGTATTCCTGACAAAGTGCTGATGTTGAGATAACATTTTCATTCTTTTCAGCATCGACTGGTATAAAGACGACCCAAGGTTCCTCACCTCGACAACGTCGACTAGCCCACGTCCGAGGCCCACAGCAAAGAACTCACGGGTTCGACCTAATCGCACGAGAGCGACAACGGCCCGAGCTCTGACGCGATTTTCCGATCGGAACGTCCAGAAACAAGAACAACAAACATTTTGAGTCCAGAAAAGCGGGAACAAACGCTCGTTTTTCTTGAATGTTGGTTATTGGGACCACGCATGAACATTTTTCCACGAAATTTTTGAAACGATCTGCCATGCCACAAGCAGCTGTGCGATTCGTGGGACCCCTGCTGAAGTGATGCCTTTAATTTTTTTTTGTAGGCTTCGTTCGAATAAAAAAAAATGAAAATGTTGTGGGTTTTTCTTCTATACTCATTCATCTGCACAAGGATATAAAAGAGTCTCGAGATTCAGCGATAACTGATTGTCGTCAGGTGAGATCTTCCTGGAAGCAATTTTGCCTGCGTAGAAGAGATTAATTTCTGCGCGGGGGCTTGGCGCAGTGAATGGAATTTTTGCGGCCTCCGCACTGAATTCAAGGTTGTGGTGGTATCTTTTGTGGGGGAAAAAAAAAAGAAAGACGAGGCAGGAAAGGCAAAATAGGACGAATTTCATTCGCTCCTTGCTTCATTCTGAGCGTGTTTGGAGTGTGAGATCCGTTATTCGTTCCATGTCCTCGGGGCATCGCGTGGATGGTCATGCAGTCGAGGTCGGCCCTCGAAATCCGCGTAGAGAATTCCATGTACGCCGAAAAAGAGTTCACCTTGAAAAGTCGTAGTTGGAAATCACACCAACTGCGACCGTGATTTCATAATTTGGGAGACACCCCGTGAATAATATGTGGAGCATGAAAAAAAGAAAACCACGATTCATTTTCTTGATGCATATATTCAACAGAGTACCAACACAACAGATTCAACAGAGGAGTTGAAACCAGTTCGTCCGCGGTAGTGAGGAATCATTTATTACACAGTGTTCTAATTAAAAATCGGATTGACAAAATCAATTCCTAATTATTCCATAGCCGACCATCATGATGAAATGTACAACGTTTGTATTTCTGGTTATTAATCAAACTTAATTAACTCAGCTTACGCCCAACTGAACCAATTATATAACGCCCAACCGATGAATTAATTATCTTCATTACCAAACAGATGATGAAAAAAATCTGGCTCCATCAGAAAATGCCGACACAGAGAGCGATTCAAGTGAGAAATTATCTTGAAGGGGGGGACAAGTATTGTGAAAATCAAGAAGGAATTATTTGCGGTTTTTCGTGCGTCACCAGTGCTACAAAGATCTACAGTTCCATCCTGCAATTTTTACTGATACAGTACATTTAAGTGATATGTGCATTGGTATTGCGTAGTGTTCCACAATGGCACAGGGGTATGCTTGGCAATTCCATGCTTCTGGGTACAGTATTTTAATGCAAAGTTTTATTTGATGTTTTATTTGCACTAAAGACGGTTGGTTTCTGTACAATTTATATCATCGACGTCTCGCCAATCGAAGAATGTGGTTCTCAAGCAAAAAACTTGAATGAATTCTTCATTTGAAATGATCTGAAAGTGATCGGTATCAGTAATTCCTCCCCTCATACATTACCTGACGATTCCCAATATTGTCTTACAACTTAATTCAATTTAGAAAAAAACTTGTACATTTAAATAATCGAAGAGTCCCACAGCGTGTTACGTGGCTCAAAGCATCTTTTCTGTTGTTTTCATGGTGTCACTTACACCTTTAATTTTTTCATGAGCGATTCATGTTCCATTAGTTCTTGTGGATGATGAGAATGTTTTCATTTGCTGACACAGTGTAAGTTGCATGGTTAAATTTTTTTTATCAGATTCATGGATTGTGTAATTGTGTTGTACCATACGTCCACCATAAAAATTTTATTTCATCAATTTTTTTAAAATTTTAATATTTAGCGTCTCAAATTTTGTATCCGGCGGAACTTTTGTAAATGCAGCTTTTTTTTAAAGGATCTCGTTGTTTGTACCATGCAAATTTGTGCTAGCATTTATTTTTCAACAATGAAGCTCTCTTACACTTGAACTAATTAAGTAAAGCAACAATTGATTCCATTAAATTCTAGAGCTGATGAAAGAGTTTCATTATCACGTAGAGCTACTAATCAGCTTTATCATTTCTCAATAAAGAGTGGTCCGGTTTTTGATTGATTGATATAAATCTTTATTTGCTGTTTGTCAGCATTCATGAGGTTCACAAAATTGTCCCCCATCTCCCTACACTTCTATGGAATAAATTCCAACCTATAACAAATTGCTGCATATAGGCAATAAAATAAATTATTCTTTTTTATTTGGACACAAGGCGTCCAGCCTGTTCCCACATGGATTTCAATTTATTGAACAATTGAGGAAGAATCTTTAAGAGTAATCATACACAGCTGACACTCTATTATGATTTTTTTAAGATGTAGGAGATTTTTAAAAATTAAGTTGTGAGAATCTTAAGTCTTTTGATACTGTACCTGAATTCTTGTGGTGTGGAAAAAGAAAAGATTTGCTTCTTTAGGACAATCAGATGTTGACCCAACACTTTTCAAACTTCAGGTTGGTAAAACTTAAAGGTTAGCCATGTAGTGAGTAAAACAACACAATAAATTCTCGAAATATTCCAGGAATTTTTGAAGGTTGCAGGAGATTACAAATCCCAAAAACGCACATTTTTCTCTTTATTTTTTAAATTTTTGCTTTCGTGGCAAGTACTTGATTGAGCTTGCTTCGTAATTTTTCTTCTCTATTTAATATGTTTCAGTCTCGATTACAGCAGTTCCCAGAAAGCAATTCCTTTTAATTCCGCTCGAGGCTTTCAGCATTACGGGCCTTGAATGGTGGTTACACCCATTTATGGTAAACTTTCGACCCATTCATGTCGAGTTTTCTTCCAGAGACAACCTTGAAAGCAAAAGGAGCTGATTACTTCCTCATTGATCACTTATCTTCCGTGATTGCTCAAAAACCGGGTAAAAGGGCTTCTATCACTGTTTCCCATTATCAAGACATTTGTTACGCGTCATGATAACGCTCGTGTCAATCACCATCACATGTCTTGTTGTTTTGCATTAAGCTGAAGAAAGTTGAGTTGATTTCTGCATGGACTCGCTTGAATGCTAGACAAACTGATGGCGTCAGTTCGCTAAAGACTTTTCCCCCGATTTCTGGGTAAACAACTTTCACTTCTGCTGCGACTTCGAGGGCGTTGACTAGCGTCAAAATCCCGTGGAAAATTGGGGGAGAGAAAAAGCTTTTTTATCGGCGTGGAAAAATGCGTGATTTCGCCGCGGTTTGCTGATTGGATTCGCTCGATTCGCTTGATTCAGTATAGGATATATAGTGAGAATTACGTTTCCTTCGTCGATTTAAAACAAAACAACAGCTCATAAAACAAAACACTAACAAACAGAGTGGCAACGGTTTTTGTGGAAGATAATTTTTCGAGTACAGTATTTTGCTCGCTAGGAAAAAAAAACGCTCGAGATTTCCTCGAATTAAAATCACGAGTGGCAATTTCGTCACTTCGAACTTGAATTCCGCTACGTCTGAAATTGATTCCATCATTTTTATTTAGAACACGAATGAAATTTCTGTCGGTCGACGAATCAAATGAAATTGCCGTAATAATATTAGCATATTTTTTTCTCCGTCACGAAAAGATGATCGACATTCCAAATTATTTTCAAGAAGTGTCGCTCAACGGGTCATGCGAAAGCGATTTGAGATTCGAATTTTCCGTGTAGTACATGCATTCAATTTTTGTGTTATTTCCTCACAAAGGACTTGAAAAAGAAATTATCACACAGTTGGAAATGGAATGCGAAGAATCAGCAGAAGTAAACAATTATTTGTTGCACTGGCTTCCTGGTTCGAATTTAAGGAATGAAACCCAATAAAAATCATCATCTGTCTGTTCCTTCTGTTCTAAAAAAGATGCACTGTGTGCGGTTAAATTTCAGCTGTTCTTCAATCATCAAGTATAAATTCTGCTTTTGGTGCCTGTTGCAGACTTGAATCCAATCATCAATTCCAATACTATTTTATTAAAGTCACTGTTGTACTGCAAGCTCATGCGCCATCACAGAGAAAAGTCTCCTTTACAGTATTGTGCAAGTTTAGAATACAGCAATATGAATTCTTATTGAAAATCTTGCTTAGTCATTGTTAAAATGTTTGGTATCCTTGCATCCCAAAGTATATGAAACCTCACTATGACAAAGTCTGCATTGACATTATTGCATATTCCTCATCATAAAAAGCAATGGAACTGCAATTTGATCACCTACTTTTGTAATTGCAGTGATAAAGGATTGCAGTGATCTGACTTTGGTTTCATTCTTTAACCCTTCTGCTGCAATTTTTGGAAATTATTACAAATTTGAGTGACTGTGAGCACTGAAAAGAAAAAAACCTAACCTTTGTATCTGGGAATAAAACAGAAAATTCAAATATACAGTACTTTTTTCTCTTCCAGTCAAACATTTTGGGTGAAAAATAAAAAATTTACCAATGGGTGGCATTTTTTCCTACATACCTAGCATAGGTTTACCATTGGAGATTTCTGAAAGCAATGCAGTTTTGCCCTCACAAATATTTTCCCCTCTCAGACCTCTGCAACCAAAGGCATTTTGTTGACCTTTGGTTAAACTGAAATGCGCATGTGTAGGAAATATCCTATCTTTGCCTTGGGCTGGAAAGGAACCTACTGCTGTTTGACAATTATTATTACTGTCCTATGTTCAAACATATCATTTGACAATTGATGACCATGCATGAGTCATTCAATGGTCATGATTAGATGACATGACTTAGTATATGCAAGGCTTTAGTAAACAATTGAGGATAATTCCTCAATCAACTGCACCTACATGCTGCATCTGAAGTTCACCAGAATTTGAAAATTTGTAAGTTATGCATATCTTCAATCAAAGCTATGTATTGAGTATTCCCTCTTCCTTTTTATGCTTTTTCAATTTCTAGGAGTCCATTTTATAGTAGTACAGAGTAGAGCCGTATGGGTTGGTCATGTCTCATCAGCCTCATACTGAAACTGCACCTTGTTCTTTCTTCATGGCACTCTTGCTATCCCATGAGTTTTGCAATAAAGCTTGCAATACATTTTCTCTTTTTATGATGCTCAATTTCATGGCTTATTTATTCTACTGGTAGGACTATCACACGCACTTGGAAAAAATAATTCCTCAGAGAAAGTTTTTTTACAACTTTCAGAATTGCTTGCACATAAAAATGCACTCAGTTACGCTTGTCTTTGAAAGACTTGTGGGCAGTCAAATTAAGAAAAAAGGTGTAAGGGCTGTAC